TCTAATCTGCCATGTGCGCGAACCGGAATAATGCGCCGCGAAAATCTTATCAAAGACAGGAGATGCCGCACATCAGAGCGGCTGCTGCCTTGTTTACTGGCTCGGACGTGTTCTGAGACGTTTTCGCAGATTAATACGTGACCAGGGAAGAAAGCTGAAAATGTTTGCGACCTGACCTCAGTAGAGCCAGAGCAGGCAGAGGCCTTCGGGATGGGGCCAGGAGGTTTGAATCCAGTTCTACCAGATACTTCCTCTGGGCAGCTCCTGTAATCCCACTGTGCGCTTTTCCCATCTGTCAGGCTGAAATGATGCTGACCCTATTTCATGCAGTTGCTCTGAAGTTTGGCTGCCTGCATTTTTGTGTTGTGTGCATGCATGTGCGTGTGTTTACAACTTTAGGGCTTCGATATAAGGATGGAACAGGGTTCAAATAACTTGATTTGAATTTATATACCCCCCCGCCAGTGATCTATAGAAATTCTCAGTCTTAAACCCAATTCTGTATATGTGTGTGTGTGTGAGCGAGAGAGAGAGAGGGAGTGTGAGTATGTATATGTAAAAATTGAAAGTAGGCTCTTTGAGCCCTACTTTTTATGCTTATAGCCAAGAACTCAAGCTGATCCAATTCCCATCAGAGCCCCGAGGAGACTCCCATTTGACTTCCATGCCGAGCCTAATCTTGATCTCACATTGGCAGTTACCCGCTGTTACTTCACTGAACAACTTAAACTAGATCCAGAGCCAGCTCACTGATTGCTCTGCAAGTGCTTTATAAAAATGTCCCAAAAGATCCAGCTGCAAACATTACGGCATGCCTGCGCGCACACGTTTAATTGCAAATCATCTTTATGGTGAGCAGCTCAATATCTGTTCCATTCTACGGTCAGCTAAGGATTGAGTCTTAATGAAGAGGCATACTGCTGTATCCATCAATCAAGGAGAGAGCATTTCTGCATACTTGCAATACTGCATGTAGCTAGCTTTCATTTAAGGGACACACACGCATCAGATGCACATTCTCAACCTAGACTCGACCCAGTATTGCAGTAGAATTCGACTCTTTACTGTAGTATAGCACGCTGGATCACAGTTTTATCAACCGGTGTGCATTTCACAGCCAGTTTTCTGTTCCCCACTGGCACCTTTAGGCAACCTATGAAGGGTTAAGCTCTTCCAGTGAAAAAGGTAGCAACATAGCAAGTAAAATGAAGCTATCCCTGTCTGGGTCACCCATGCATGGCAAAGCTGTCTGCTTTCCCATTACACGCTCTGGCCAGCTTGAGTGTAACATCCTTGGGAACCTTGTCCATCGATCCGTTTGTGTACTCCGGCATGGCTCCGCATTGTGCAGCTGCAACATCGAGAGAAAAGACTCCGCAGTTGATGCAGGCCGTACAAGAGAGAGCGGCTGTTTTACCTGATGCTAGTCCTTAATCCTCGTGGGCTCAGCAACGCCTGGCAGGCTTTGCAATCTCTAGCACACCAAGCTGTAAAATTGGAATCGTCCTTTTGGCAGGAAAATGAGCTTTCCTAGTCTGTGTGTGTGTGTGCGTGTGTGCGTGCACACTTACTGGGGCTGGCAGTGCTGCGTGTTACTAAGGTTGTCTGACACTTGCTGCCAGCAAACTTAACTCTGGCATTTCTTGCCTTTTGAGTGCTTGACTTTGCAACATTAATCATATGGTTTTAACATAGTCTTTTACTGGCAAGAAACTTATAATAGTTATGGGATGCTCCATCTATGTTTCAGCACCACAGCAGGTTTTTGTCCTTTAACTGGGGTTCTGGGTGTTGTTTTAAGGAGGTTGCTGTTCTCATTTCAGACTTATATGGATAGAGAAAAAGTTCTGTTTGTTTGCCCAAGTGATAGCAGATGTGGGCAGAGGGGTTGTGGAGGGTAGCTGAGTGCTCGCTGTTGGAACACGATCCATTTATGCATACTTCTCCATACCGTCACTCAGAGAGAGGCCCATCCAACAATGCCTCCTTCTCCAAACTTCAGGCACGTGTTGTTTTTAGCACCTTCCTGGGATACAATCACCTCTTTGTAGAACCAAAATCCTCAAATGATTGATGGGGGCGCAGACGATAACCTTACTGAAGTCGTCAACATATTTACCCTGCACCGTGGCAGGTGGACTTGGGTACTCTTGACTCATCCGGGATGGTATCATGTCTCATCCTTGATGGCAGAACACAGCACTGTCAGCTCATTGATCTGTTGAAACCAATACCGTTATCCACATTTTTTCCTAATATTTAATGTGATTTTCCAGTTTGCACTTCTTTCCCATTACCTGAGGGCTTTGGGAGGGGGCCATCATTTTATTCTGTGTTCCAGCAGCACCTGCCAGGATACAAACCTGACTTTCCACTCGGACTACTGGGATCTATTGCAATATAAATAAGAATTACTGTGTGTTGCAGCCACAGTAGTTTATTAAAATAATCCATCCCTGGCCTTTCTGTAACCTATAAATGGAGACTCTGCTTCTAGGAAAGTAGGGCTTTGGAAAGCAGGATGTGGCAAGGAGACCTCTCTTTGTGGCTTCCACCCTTTCATACTTTTGGAACTTGTGTTTCTTGTCACTCTCCCTTCCTACCACTGAAAATGCATGGAAGTGGCTCAGATCTAGCTCCTCCATGCTTAGCATGATTTGCAGGTCAAGCCAAGCAAACAAAAATGAAAAATTTCCGAATCTAAATGCTCCCAAACATAGCCAGATTCAAAGCCCGGTTCCAAACGTTGCAGTTCTTGCAGGTCCCAAGCATTCAACAAAGCTGTTTTGCATTACGAAAGATTGCCAAGGCATCAAAGTGTTGGAAGAATAAGAGCATGAAACCAGATTCCTGTCTGCAGGCATCAACACCAAGCTGCGTAGTCAGGAAGAGAAGTGCGTGCAGAAAAGGGGTGGCGGGAAACTGCAAGAACTTTTGTTGATTAACTGCTTGCCATGACTGTTTATGCCAGGGTTTTGCTCTTCTACTTTCTGCCGTGTTCGTGAGCAAAAAAAACCTATTTCAACTCTGAGGAATGTCTAGGAGCAAATTGGGGGAGAATGGGGAAATAAATGGATTTTAATGTCATCTAAAAT